GATCTTGACTTATTTAAGTTTCCCCATATTTTATCCCAATTTCAGAACCACTTTTTTTTAATAAGGAAGTTTTGAAGTATTCTTTCGCCCTCATTGAGTCTCATTCACAGATGTTTTTCTGAAGCTGTTCTTAAGAAGATTTCAAAAAAGGAGACTCTCCGTCGGATTCACCAACGTGTTCTTAAATGACTGAATTATTTGCAGCTGTGTTCTCATCTCCTCGTGGTCGTAAGTTGTGCCTGTTGTTCCCAATTAGCATAGGTAACCGCCCACTTATGCCCATAAAAGGGCATGAGTGCAGTGCCCTGCAGACACACATAAAACAAATGCTGGGAGCAAAAAAAAAAAAAAAAAGGTTGTTGAGATGCCTAATGGTCGGAGCGCCGGACCCCAATGAGGCAAGTGAAGCCCATTCCTATGTTTGTTTGGTGCTGGGAATACGAGAGAAATAAGTCAACATCTCAAGAAAACAACAAGAAATGACTCGTTATTACAGGAAAAGTGAATAAATTAAATGTATGGATGCATCTCTGCTGAGGGCTTCTGCAGAAAACAAAGAATTCTACAACATGTTATATGACTATGAAGTCCTAAATAACACATGAAACATATAATTCACTTATTCATGACTGTGTGTGTGTGTGTGTGTGTGTGTGTGTGTGTATGTGTGTGTGTGTGTGTGTGTGTGTGTGCGTGTGTGTGTGTGTGTGTGTGTGTGTGTGTGTGTGTGTGTGTGTGTGTGCGTGTTTGTAGCTGTGGGCTCCTGTCCTTCCCACAGTTCATCAACTCCACAGCATGACAACTCTTTATCCGACCAATGCTTCATCTGCCAGCGCTAATTACTGAGCCATGAAAATCTCTGAGACTCAAACACACACACGCTCCGCCATGAACATGTGAATAATGTGACTTCAGAGCAAGAGCCAATTCTCCATTCATGCTGGTGATACACAAAAACTTCACTGTCACCTTGAACTCATAGCTTCTACCTGCACGTCTACGATGCTGCACAACGACTGTCCCCCGTGTTGCCTCTTTTTCTAACAAACAAGTACTCAGTGTGTTTCCTGTTTGCAGTCCGCACACTAAAAGGAGACGATGCACATTGGGATTTAACCGTGTCTTTAATGCTGCAACTTTTTTTTTATTTTTAGTGAAGTAAATATAAACACCACCTGATGGATGCACAAACTTGCAATCACTGATTTAACTCATAAATGTTCATTTCAGTTCATTCAAACGGAGGTGTGTGAGGACTGAACTGAACAAAAACACAAGATTATTACGTCACTTAAGAGTCTGAATAAATATGTTCTTAGTGTGCAGCAAAATATTAACCGATACGATGTGTTTTAAAAAGATACAATCTCCGTTATTTTAATGACCGATTGTTTTTAGTACCGAGCGGTAAGTGTGTGTGCATTTGTTCTAACTTGTGACTCTGCTGAGGATGAACTGTCAGTCAGGATCTTTTAATGAGTGTTGTGTTTTCAGGTCAACTCTTTTGCCTCAACTTTAAATAAATTGGATTTATTTATTTATACTGTTATTTACTTATCTTATTATCATTTTACTTTTATATATTATTATTAGGATTATGTATGCTGTTTTTGTCCTTCTCCTTCATGTTTAAAGTATCTTAATTGGAGAAAAAGTAAAAAGCTAAAAAAAAAAAGAGAACGATTCTGTTTAATTTGAACACAAAAAAATTTCAATATTGTTGTTCAAATGTAAACAGTGTACAGGAGCTGCTTGATATTTCTGCTAATTAAGGAGAAATTACTCAATTTTGGCAGCCTAGGATGTTGTTATTGTAGCCATGGTATCGAAAAACCACCATATTTAAACTTCTGAAAGTTTAATTCTGGTATGATGTAAACATTGTGTATGAACTTGATAGAGACATTTACTTCATCCAGACATGAGCCGTGATTTATTAGACTCCTTTCATTTCCATGTTTCTGTTTGGTACTTATAGAGCACACACACACACACACACACACACACACACACACACACACACACACACACACACACCCACACACTGACTAATGTATGTTTGTACAGGAAACAGAAATACATTAGTCAGTCTATAAGATGTGTCCACATCGTTACAACAAACACACTGACGCTTTTTCTCCCCTGCTAACTAGGCAATCACATCCAAAATCTAACTCTGTCTTCTTTAACTGCCATCAAACACACACACACACACACACACACACGCCTAAAAACACACTTTGACAAACACATAACACATAAACCATTAAATACTAATTGAATCTAATTTATTTAGTTTTCTGGAAAGAATCATTTAAGGCAGAACTTCCCTAAGCCCCCTCAATAAATGACACTCATACCGTTTTGGTCTCTTTTCAAACACAATTAAAAAATAATATATAAATATATACACACTGCAAATGACATGAATACAAGGAGTTCATTTTGGAGCCCGATCTCAGGTCATTAGTAACCCACCATGACGCTGTGGAGTTGGAGGGTCCGCTGGCGACACAGAGGCCCCTGGCCATTTATTCTATATTAAGTCTCTAATGGGCCCTCTCTCTCCCCCTCTCGCTCTCCCCCTCTCTCTCCCTCGCTCCTGACACACAGCGTGAAGGCACAGCGCTGGTAAAATATGCACAGAAAGTCCGGTGCGCACACGCAGACAAAGCCATTCAAATGAATGGTTATTTATTCGCTAAACGAGGATCTGGGTGTTTAATGTTCCTTGGACGTTAGGTAGTTTTCTGAGGGAGGCAGAGCCGTACCCCTACGGCTACAGACATCATTTATTTTACACATAGCCTAATACCGCACGCTAGGCAGCCGCTGAGAAAAATGGGCTTTGGAAGTGAGAAGGAGATATAAAAGAAATAATGAATGATTTTTTTTTTTTAGGGGGGTATTGTGGTGGTGGAGGGAGGGGGGGAACACATTAGAAGTTGCAGCAGGGAGAAAAGCAAGGGGTAGGCTTAAAGGCTTAAAGCACCCTCTGTGTGTGTGTGTGTGTGTGTGTGTGTGTGTGTGTGTGTGTGTGTGTGTGTGTGTGTGTGTGTGTGTGTGTGTGTGATTGCAAATGAAGAACAAGAGATAGAAAGATAGAAAAAGTCAACACAAACATCCACAAACGTATAACAGAGTGTGTGTATGTTTCGGTGTGTGTGTGTGTGTGTGTGTGTGTGTGTGTGTGTGTGTGTGTGTGTGTGTGAGGCTCTCCATCTGAATCTCATCCAAATGCAGAACATCAGAGGGGCTCCTGTACTCACACAACACCCCCTCCCTCACACACTAAACATCACAGGTGTGATGTTTCCAAAACATCAAAGCCATCAAAAGTCACTTTTTAAAAAAAGAAAAACTTAGTTTCAGTGTTAAAGTTTTTCTTTATCTTTCTTATAAGAAGATTATTCAAGATTTTTGTAAACATCTGACAAAAGAAAGGCAGCCATGTAGGAACACAAAGCAGGCCCTGTCCCGGGCTCGCGAGTAGACAGAGCTGCCCCCAACCTTCAGCAAGATGATCTGGCACTAACTACCACCCGACGTCCCAGACGCCCAGCCACCACCATCGGACTGAGTCGTCCCCACCGCCGTCCTCATTCAAGCACGGCCTGCTCTGACCTCCACCTCAGCGGTGTGGAAGACAGGAACGCGAGGAATACAAAGGAGGAATCCCCATCTCCCCCATCCCAATATTTCTTAACAATGAGTAATCCATTGTTTAGTTACTTTTTTTCATAAAATTAATCCGTCACTGGAAAAAATGTGCCTGATATCTCTGAAACCTCCGTTCACACGATTCATGACTCGAGATGCCGGTAAAGTTATCTCATCTTTATTTGGGTTTTCAGTTTTCAAACAGACCTTTAAAGTCTTTATATGTGATTTTTCACACTTAAATATAATATAAATCAAGTATCTCCTCTGAAAATAACTCTGTGAGTCATGACTGTCTACAATGGGTGTAACACCCGAGTCCCACTGTCTGTGATGTTTTCAGAGTCCTATCTTCACTTTGTTTACATCGCCCGGACGGCCGGCTGACTCCTCCCCTCACGTATAAAAGTTGTTTAATCGAGGGACTAGAGAAAAGAAGAATAACATACTGTACTCACTGCTTAACTGTGTTTCTAGATCACGCTCATTTCAGGTAAATTTACATGCAGTGTGAAGATACCAGCATAATAAAGATCGCTAATAAAGATAGCATTAGCATGCTAACACAACAATGCAGTGCAAGTTGTTTTGGTTTCATGCTGGTGCTCAAGGGCGACATCTGCTGGATCAAAAAATCGCATATAAAGCCTTTAAAGGAAGAATGTGCGACACGTTACAACTAATTACAGCAGAAACTAAGTATATCCTGTGTAAATGTCTCTCTGAGTCATGACTGTCTACAAGAGAAGCGTGAGTCCTTTCAGCTGTTTTGTTGTCAGTGTTGTGTTTACATCATGTTTACATGGACGGGACGGTCCTGCATATAAAGCTGTTTTAGTCAAGGACTAGAGAGAAGAAGAAGAACATACTCACTGATTATTTGGATGTCACGTAAGTGTGTTCAGATCTCGGTCATTCTGTGTCAATTTACATGCAAAGTGAAGCTACGAGCTAACATTAGCATGCTAACACAACAATGCAGGACACAGGTGATTACAGCTCGAGCAAAGGACAATTTTTACCACCGATTAATGGTGCGTTCTGATTCATGACATGCTTCATGTGAATGCGAGTGGAGAGGGGTTGGAGGTGTGTCGCAGGAGGAGAGCGGAGGCTTCAGAATACAGCAGTTTGTTTTGGTTTCATGTTGGTGCTAAAGGGCGCCATCTACTGGATCAAAAAGTTGCACATTCTTCCTTTAATCAAGTATTGAACGTAAATGAACATTATGAAATACCTATTTTTCAATGCTGAATCTCTTGTGTTTATTGTTTACTAGAATATTTTGAACAGAATCTAAACGGGATCATGTGAGCTTGTTTTATGATTTCTGAACGTACCTCCTTCTCCGTGGTGACTGAAGCGAGTGCAACGGTCATCTCTCCATCAGAAAACTCCTTCAGCTCCACGGCCAGCTGCTGCTCCAAGTCTACATCCAGTCAGCACACACAAACAGACTGACAGTTATATAAAACACACACAAGAGTACAAAACAATGTCACAACGGACAGCAACAAAACACAAACATTAACGCCCTCTCCAGCTGGGAGAAGTCATCGAAAGCATGCTGCATTTTAATAATCTGAGACAATTACAGGTTTACTTTGTAACAATCATGTGAACTGACAATTGAGTCAACAGCACACTTGTCCAGGTCACTAGAGGACATTTTTTTAAAATCGCTCCGACCTGCACAGAAGTACTGAGTCAGTGGAACGTTTGAGTTTTGAGCGATGAGTTTGGAAGCAAATCTAGGAGCTGTGATTTAAAAAAAAAAAAAAAGGTTATTTAAAAAACGGACTGTAGCATGGCACCTGGGCTGGAGAGGGACCTGGTCCACTGTGATAAGGACTGAGCTCTGAATGGTTTCGGCTCTACCAGATGAGCTACCAAGCACAGCCCCCCCCCCCCCACCCCCCCATCACACTATTTAGACTTATGTCAGAGTGCATACGTTCCATGAGTCCAACATCTAATTCCTTGATGCTACAGAGACTTTCTGTGAACACTTAATACATGTATGGATGTTACCTAGCAACCAGATCTCACATTAATGATGCATCCAAGCTTAGTAACTCACTCTCAGAGTACTAGCTGGTACTTTAGCTGATTCATCATAGTTCACAGCCCTGCTGATCATGCAGACTGGATGGTCAAATTAATTTCGGGCATGTTGGATATTTTGGTCGTACGACTGCACACACTCACACTGTGAGAGCAGAGCCATGAGCTGTTCCCCCGACCTCAGGACTTTTTTTTTCCGCTGATTGTGTCTGCACAAAAAGTGACAGACAATGTCCAAAATCACCATGGCAACAGCAGGCATGTCTGTTTACTCTGTCTTCCCCCTCCTATCATGAAGGAAATGTTGGTATGAAATACGATTGGACGTCCAGCTGACAGGGGATATTTTGTTATGATTCAGCTGAAGGGTTAGCTTGTGTTTATTGGGGATACAGATTGTGTGTGTGCTTGTGAGAGAGAGGCAACTGAAACACACAAACACATATTGTATATCTGATGTCAACCTCCGTCTGTGGGATCCCTTTGACAAGTGTCAATGCTCCGTACCGATTTAGCTCGTACATTGTGAGCTCATAAAACGGGATCTCTGGTTGTACAGATCTGTGTTTTTATACAGAAACGCACCTCGTGATACTTGTATTCCACTTTTTTATTGCCAACAGATTCGCCCAATTTTTTTGCAGATTCAGGAGGATGGAGGTTTTGGTCATTCTTTCATTTTTACGCGTATAAAGTTGACAGTATGCTCTCAGCTATGTATCGACTGAGCAGCACAGATAAGTAAATGGTTATATTTTGTTTAGAAAAACATAGCCATGTTTTGCTCATCAGTTAAAAGTCGATGCCTACAGATTTGGCTCGAGGGTTTTTTACACTGTTAAACTGGAAACTGTGAGAGTGACGATGAAGGGAAAATACTCCATCTTTGAAAAAAATATAGATGCATCTATAGAGAAGTCTGTAGAAGCCTTGCCTTGAATAGTTGCTGATATATTTGTATATGTATATATATATATATATATATATATATATGTTCTTAGATCCACCTTTCCTTGTCTGATATTTTGTTCATTCTTGTAATACAGGAGGAGTTATGTTGAAACTCTTACTAAACACACTTGGTTTAAATGAAAAAAAAAGCACCTTGTAGCGAGGCCTCAGCATGCCGACCTGCAGTGACGTCACTCCGACGCTCCAAAGATCTCATGAGCTCCTCCGTTTGTAAAGACCGACGGCCGTGTTTGATCCGGAGAGCTTCACTTTGCAGCAGCAAGGCTTCTATTGACAAATAAACACACAGACATGTGGGTGAGTCTAATGGGAAGAGCAGACTCAGGTTTTTACAATACAACACTTTATCGTCCTCCAGGGGAAATGAGTCCTGACAGCACGGGTATGCACATATATAAACACATAATCTAGGATGTAAACTTAAACAGTATAGCAGTAATCAAAAGCAGCCTAAGCATCAGTCAGCGTGGAAGCTTATTAAGAGCTTCAATAGCCTTTTTTGTTGAGAAGTAAATATTACATCAAGAAGGCACAGCATTAGTAAGAACATGCATTGTTGATGAACTGCTCTGCTGGGAAACAAACATATAGAGCTGGACACCACCAACTCAGTTTGGTCTCATTCCAAGAGTGACATGTTAAGTACTTCATCAAGCCATAGTACTTCTAGGAAACCGTTGTAACCCTCCCCCCTTTTTTATTGTTTCCGAGAACCCCGTTTAGACAGATTGATCATAGACTTTATTTGGCATGGACATCACAGATACATCGGACGAACCAGATGCATTGTTTAAGTGTTTTTAGCAAACATGCTAGTTCTCAACACCTCACCACGTGAAAGAAAACAGTTAAAGTCTTTATATGTGATTTTTCACACTTAAATGTAGAAATCAAATATATCCTCTGAAAATAACTCTGTGAGTCATGACTGTCTACAATGGGTGTAACACCCGAGTCCCACTGTCTGTGATGTTTTCAGAGTTTTCAGAGTCCTATCTTCACTTTGTTTACATCGCCAGGACGGCCGGCTGACTCCTCCCCTCGTGTATAAAAGTTGTTTAATTGAGGGACTAGAGAAAAGAAGAATAACATACTGTACTCACTGCTTAACTGTGTTTCTAGATCACGCTCATTTCAGGTAAATTTACATGCAGTGTGAAGATACCAGCATAATAAAGATCACTAGCATTAGCATGCTAACACAACAATGCAGCGCAAGTTGTTTTGGTTTCATGCTGGTGCTCAAGGGTGACATCTACTGGATCAAAAAAATTGCATATAAAGCCTTTAAAGATAAGAAGAAAGGTAATAAGACAGGGAGAAACAATACAGAGAAAATGACTAAAATAATAACATTTTTGACATTTTTTGAGTATTTTATTTGTTAAGTTAGTTGGCCTGTTAACAGTGAAATCTAACTAATACTTGTTGGAGGTATTCAGTTCACTAGAGCTGTTAAAGGGTCACTGATAAATAAAAGTCTTCAGCATCTCTGGTGGAGCTGGACTCATACATGACGATGTAGATTGAAATTGTCCTTTTTTTGCCACAATGTGAATAAGATGTTGAATTAAACGTCACAACCAGGAAGTAAACAGTCAACATCAGATCAGAAGTTTTGTCATGTTTGTGAAACTGAGGGAAATATTTTTGCCAAACCGACTCTGAATTTTTTTTTTTATCAAGATAACACTCACACAAAACAATTTTACCAGGTTTTTAGATAGTCATGCAAAAGCTTGGGTTTATTTGCCTTTCCAGGAAACAATTTTAAAAAAAGTTATCTGCTCCCTCTGGCAACATTTTTTCTAGTGAGGATAAAGAAGTCGAGTTACTGGCCTCTCTTCGGGAATCAATGAACTTGAAAATGCTCTGTCTATAAAAAAAACTCTCACAGAGAAATATGAGAACAGGCCCAAACTCGGTACATCGATCTCTCGCTCAAAGTATCTTCCGTTTTCTCTCTGGGAGTCTCTGAACTCTACTTCCCTCTTTCTGTTCACTCGATCCACAGTAATTCACTCTTCTAGCTTAACATTCTCTGTCTGTCTGACTGAATGTTTGACTGTCAGTGAATCACATTTGAGAGATGGCAAAGGATTAAAAAAACCCAGCAGAGCACCACTGAACAGAGATCAGGGAAGTCTCCTGTCCGGCCTGTTCACAGCTGTTTAACATCGACATCTTGAGAAGGGTGAGTGAAAAAGTTAACGTAAAGTATCTCGGGGTCTTGATCACAAGTAAGGGTAAGCTGGAACGAGAGATTGACAGGCTCAGCATCGGCAGATATGAAGGGATTGTATTGAAATGAGTGGTAAAGAGGGAGATGAGCCTGAAGGGAAAGGCCTCGATTTACTGGTTGATCTTCCAGCTTGGTACAACTAAACTCATGCCCACAAAGTCTGCCCAGAACCTGGGTGTCATGATTGATGACCAGCTAACATTTAAGGTTCAAGTAGCCTCGATTGCCCGGTCATGTCGATTTGCCCTGTACAACATCAGGAAGTTCAGACCTTACCTGTCAGAACATGCTACACAGCTCCTGGTACAGGCTCTTGTGATATCACACATTGCAAATCTCTACTGGCAGGTCTTCCTACATGCACTTTCAAACCTCTGCAGATGATACAAAATGCAGCAGCACAACTGGTCTTCAACCTTCCTAAAAGAGCACATGTCACTCCGCTGTTCATCTCCTTACACTGGCTCCCAGTTACTGCTCGCATCAAATTTAAAACTCTGCTGCTCGCTTACGAAACAGCGACAAAACCGTCTCCTCCTTTCTTTAACTCTCTGATCCAGTTCTACACTCCCTCCCCCCTCTACGCTCTGCCAATGAAAGGCGTCTGATCCAACCTTCACAACAGGGTCCTAAGTCTCTGACTGGACTCTTCTCCTCTGTCGCCCCCCGGTGGTGGAATGAACTTCCAAACTCCATGTGATCTGCAGAGTCCCTCTGCACCTTTAAGAAAAAGCTAAAGACCCAGCTCTTTCATGAATACCTACTAACTATGATGACTTATAAGAGGGTTTCTATACTGATTAGAGCTCTCAAGAACTGCCCTCAATGTTGTGCTTTGCCTCTGGTCACTTCCTGTCAGCACCTGTGTGTCCAATCAGACTCAAAGCTGATCGTTTGCTCTTACAGACGTTGTTCCCTTTTTTCAAGATCCTTGCTTGTGTTGTACTTACTCTCTGATGTACGTCACTTTGGATAAAAGCGTCTGCTAAGTGAATTGTAGAATGCAGTCTTTGTTCCAACCCTCACCTATTGTCATGAGCTATGAGAAGTGACAGATCACGGATAAAAGCGGCTGAAATGAGTTGCCTCAAAAGGGTGTCTGGACTCAGCCGTAGAGATAGGGTGAGGAGCTCAGTAGTTCGGGCAAATTATTAGGATGATTAATCCCCGTACTGACTGACTGACTGACGTACAGGTCAAAAGCTCTTAAACCAAAATATTTTATTTCTCATCCTGATGATTTATGTCCAAGTGTTTATTTGTCTAAACATTTTAGTTTTAATAACTTATTTGATGCTATAAAAAGGATTATAACACCATGATTGACAGCTCTGTTGATAAATGGGATAAGTAGAGCTGAGAAGCAAACAGTGCTGTTAGAAGTTAAAGGACACAAATAACACATTTTAAATGTAATTAATATTTGTCAAGATCACCCATCAACACATCTGGGAGATCATCTACAGCCAGATGTTTACGCCTGCAAGTCACATCCTCTTAAAAAAAAAGTCAAACATTAAGTTTCAGGTCTTTTTGTAGCTGGTTCAAAGTAAACTTAAACGCCTTTTTCCCCAGTTCACTTCTGACTTTTGGAACGTATGTCTTCTTTTTTATTCACTGTGGTGCCCTTTGATACATTTGAATGTTAATAAGTCGATTAGAAAAGAAGTAGAACAACACAACTAACTTCACTTTCTTCACAGAAACAGGCTAACATTTAAAAAACTGTGTTTGTGTCTATCTGCGCTCTATCTTCCTCACACACCCCTCATCTCTATCTTCCTCTCTCTCTCTCTCTCTCTCTCTCTCTCTCTCTCTCCTGGTGGGTGTTAAGCGAGTCATGTCAGGGGATTTGTGTGTGTCCTCCCTCACCGCCCCATTACTCCCCCCTGGGGGTTGGGATCTGCCTGTGCCTCCCTCACCTCTGAGTGTCTCCCCTAGCGCTGCTCCGACGTGCTCCGCTGCTCCTTGAAGAATCTCCCTGGCGACTGTTGTCACGGCGGACGATGCCCCATCATCCTCTGCGTCCTGCTGCCCGTCGTGATGGACCACACGCAGGATGCTGGATTCCAGAGTGTGATACTCAGAGCTGGGAGAGAGCGGGGGGGGGACCAGAGGGTGAAGGAGATATGCAAGGCTGCAGGGGAAGGAGCGATGATTGTAATGAATTTGCATAAAAACAAATCCCCTTTGGGTCATGAGTGATGAACACACACACACACACACACACAAGCCTGCAATACACACACCAACACACACTCTGGATCTCATCTTTACAGCAACAGAAACAAAATATTTTAACTTTTTGTGACATTTTTTGTACACAAAACATCCTGAATTTACTGTACTTGCTTTCATATAAGATTTGAATATATTATTGGCTAATCAATAAAGCAGTTTAAGATGACCTGGTCTGGTGTGTGTGTGTGTGTGTGTGTGTGTGTGTGTGTGTGTGTGTGTTGACATTCCTTGCACGTGTGTGTGTCTTTACCCATCCAGCAGTCCTTCTCTCAGCAGCGTCAGAGACAGTTTTCCGCTGCGGTGAAGCGTCATGAGGTCCACGTCCTCCCTCCACAGCAGTGAGCTCTCACTGATTTTTACTCTCTGCAGATACCTGAGCGTCTCGCCGGGCAAGGCAGCGTCACACTTCCAACCGCACAGCACCGGCACACACACTCCACCTGACAGGTCCTTCTGCAGCACACACACACACACACAAAGAGTGCATAGAGTACATAGTAAAGACACAATTATACATTAAAACTTAAAAAAACGAGATGTTCCCACAAAGGTATCCAGCAGAATTGTTCTATTAGATGAGATAAAAATAGGAAATAAAAAGCAGATTGTTGATTATAAATAAATGACTGTCCTGGTAACAAACAAAGTTTGTTAAACTGAAAGTCCGAGTCATATGGAAGCCCATTTCCGCCAGTTAAAAGTTAAAATGAAAACTTGGATTTGTTGAGATTTTTTTTTTTAACATAAAAAGTCAAAATTAAGAGATAATAAAGTCAAAATAATGAGATAAAAAGTCAAAATTATGAGATAATAAAGTCAAAATAATGAGATAATAAAGTCAAAATTAAGAGATAATAAAGTCATAATAATGAGATAAAAAGTTAGGGACACCATCTACTACTGTGAACTTCAGCCTACAAAATAACTGTGTGACACAATGACAGTTAAACGGTACAGTCAATGCTACGTAAACAGTAATGCAATGTGTTTAGTTCCAACAACAACCAGATTAAAAGACATAACTATTTATTATGCATCTAACATTTACTACATTTGGCAGAATTAGGATTGCTTGAATTGCCTTGTTTAGGATTGCATATTGTTTACATGGCTGGGCGAGTGAGGGGATGCGGGGACTTCAGTGCCAGCTGGAGCACATGCACACTTACCTAATTCTGACTTTTTATCTCATTATCATGACTTTATTATCTAAAAAAAAAAATCTGGGGCTTCCATAGAGTCACTTTGATGTAGTATAAAAAGCCTTTATTTAACGGGCTCTACGCGTTTCGACTCAACTTATTTGAGTCTTTGTCAGGACATCTGATTATCAGATTACTGGATTCAATCTTTAAAGAGAGTGACCAAAATATCTAAATAAATTAGAAATGGACAAAACCTATGTTATATTATTTTGTTGAGTGCCTACGTTTCCTCAAATACTTCCAACAGTTATCAAAGCCAGAGAAATCTTTCATCTTGTCGTGGCCGCCATGACATCATGGTTGCCGTGGAAACATCAGATGTTACGTCAATGACCGCTACACAAGGAAGCGGGAACTGCTCCTGGAAGCTGCCGTGCTGTTGCCGTGTGTATTAGCACATTTTTGATTTACTTGTTTTAATGGATGTTTATAGATTATGACTGAAATGATCTCCACTCCACTCGTCATGTGAGAAGCTTCAATGTTCAGGTACTGCTTACAAGTCTAAGAAAACCTTGAAAATCGGAGAAGGTTTTGTTACCACATATTTGAAAGTGTCAAACACATGCAGACAATCAGAGCTCATGTTACCTGGCCGAGGTGCAGCGCTAAGCACAGCGTTGCAGCTACAGTGTCCACATCTGGATCTGGTCCGCCCAAAACAGCATGGACGGGATCCTCTGATGTGTCTGCCTGGAAGTACACAAACACACAAATACAGAAGATCAATGTGTGTGTGTGTGTCGGGGAGAGTGTTGCATTATTAAAAAACGCCCGACAAGAAGCCGTTCAGTGATGTTTAATCTCGTTGTCTTCAAACATCTCAACAAAGAGAGCACCAGATGTTTTGACCACCTGAGACGGGATGACTCAGTCAGATGACTGAAATGTTTTGAAAACCAACAGTATGCATTAATAATGAAATCATGATGCTGCAAGCGAGACTAAGCTCAGGCATGAAAGAGAATACTCGTCAATGAAAGGGAAATCAGTCGTGACAGCGAGGCTACGATTTAAATGAAGAAAAAACGCTTTTCACAGCTAACCGAGGGTAACGCACTTTATTGGAGAAGTGATGAGATCCATTTATTTCAATGAACAATGCAGACACACTCATTAAGTGTAAGCGGACATTAACGACAGCTACATTACAGAGATCAACATTCATCTCTGGGATAAAAAGGCAGAAAATTGAGTTTTTCCCTCCGTTAAATGCAGCAGATATTTTAGGAAACCATTCAGCCTGAATTGAGTCTTTTGACAATTTAAAATGTGTTTTTTATGGGGATGTGAAACTCATCTTTGCTTCTTCCTTAATCAAATGCAGCCCGTAATGAGGACACTAAACTGAAAGGAAATAGCTCAATGTAAGTTAATTGGGAACAGAATCCACCTCATCCATACACAGTTGGCGCTGCGTGTTCTGTGAAGGTCTCTTTATGTTTTTATCTAAAACAAATCAGCTTACTCCGAGCCCTGCAGCCCTGCAGCCGCTAATCGAGAAACAAAACGTGGATAAAATGAATATCCCATCTATCTGCTGCTCATCTTAATTGGCTTGTATAGGATTCTCTGAAGGAAGAGGATGGATGCAGCGGAGGGAAAGAAGACGACACAGGGATAAAAAGAAAAAAAACGGTTGCCTGATCCCGGTCTGCACACCAACGCCTGTAAGCACTGAACCCTCACAGACCTGAATGACGCCAGGCGTGCAGGGTGTGAGTCTGTGAGGGCTTGAGATGGTGTAAAACAGGGGAATGTGCAATGGGCAAAGTCTGAGTGATGTCATCCTTTGGTTTCTGAAGGGCTGTTTTGAGGCCCATCCATGGTGATGGCCATTTTGTAAATTCTGACTCAATCAAACTTTTGTTCAAACTAAAGAAAGGCAAATAGCCGGAGCTGAGGCCGCTGCAAGTACCAGATGTGCTCGGGTGGTCGAATCGGGTCGGGGTCCTTTCCCCTGCGTTTGTATGATGATGTAGCAACGTTGTGATTGGCTGCCAGAGAGTCGGAGAGAGAGATCAATGTCTCCTCATGAAAGAGGAAAGAAGTCAAACACACAGCGTCCAAACTGCCTTAAACGTTACACGGTTGAGTCCAAGTCTGAACATATTTACATGCCAAAATTCAATCTTTGTAACGGCGCCACCTACTGGTAACAGGCAGTAAGCCTCGGGTAACATGTTACACACGTCTAACATCAAATGTGCTTTCACTTATTGCTGTGACAGTTTAAACCATTGTTCGGGCTGCTTGTGTATTTCTTGATAAAAAGTCTCCACAGATTCATGGCGTCCATTGTTCATCCATATTCTCCATTTGAAGACACACAAAAACTACATGTCCAACAAACAGCCAATCACAATCTGCTACATCATCATACAAACGCACAGACCCCGAGCAGATCTGGTACCTCCACCGGCCTTAAGCCTTCTACACATAGCGGCTGCCTGCAGTCAGATTGGCCACGCCTCTAATTGTGCATCGCTTGTATCCATAAAATCAAAGCGGGTGGGTCACAAAACCATTAACCCCCCCAGTATGCCAGTAAATACATCTACCAATCAGAGCAAAATGTTTTTTTTCTACCAGGCTGTAAACATGTTTTTATTCCTGCTGTCAAAATAGACATTTTTAAAATGGGGTGTGTATGGGAAGACATCTACTGGACAGCTTCTCTTAAAATCTAATATTCTACCTTTAACTACTTTTCATCGCTGTCTGACATTATCCCGCTGTCTTCTTCTTTAGCCAATTAACTCTTCATGTTATCCTCGTTCTTGTCACAAGCACAACCAGGAGGAATCATGAAGTCGACATGAGGTGAGTGAAAATGGAAGGGGAATCTAAAGAGCCCCATATTTATGAGTGAAATGTTAATATATGGCACCAATTTTTCCAGGATACATTGTTTTGTCCCAGCCCTCGTCAGCAGTGATGTGTAGTAAATGTGTAGTAAATTGTAGTGAATGCAATCCAATCTTGCAAAGCATGGTCTTCTAAAATGTAATCGAACATTTCTACTTTCTCAGCTATCACCCTGGATGCTTAGCCAACACTGTATAATGGACTCTGGAGTTAAAGTACCAGTAATGATGCATAGGGAAGGAGGTGTCTTATTTCTCTTTAGAGGATCTTTGCATTTAGGGCAAAGCACAGAGAGAGAGAGAGAGAGAGAGAGGAAAGGAGAGAGGTTAAAGGCTCAGAGAGAACGAGAGCAGAGGAGGAAGTGAAATGGGTGGAAAGAGGCTTATAAAAAATGAGGCAGGTATCGGCAGGAGATTGATATCTCAGACATGTAGAAGAGAGGGGGAGGGGGGGAACAAAATGAGGGAGAGACAGGTGAAGAAATGTGATAATGGAAAAGAAGGAGAGAAGAGCAGATGAGAGAGACAAGATGTGAGGCAAATAAGTAGAAATCCAAAGTGGGGGGAACATCTTGAAAATGGAATTGAAGGGAAAGAGGAGAAGGTGAGTGTGAGCGCGTGAGATAGACGGAGAGGGGGAGGAGGTCTACAGCCCGTTTCTTCATGGGGGGGGGGGGGGGGGGTAAATCAATACTGGTTGGCCTGGGAAGAGAAGTGATGCATTAGCTGGAGAAAAGGCCACTCAGTGTCTGCTATACTGCAGCGGGAAAGCATGTGTGTGTGTGTGTGTGTGTGTGTGTTTGCATGTGCGTGTGTGTGTGTGTGTGTGTGTGTGTGTGTGTGTGTGTTCACAAGCTTGCATTGGCCATCTGATATCCTTCAATTTGAGTGCTCTCTCTTTCTGAGCTTCTAGCTCGCTATCTCACAACATTTAACCCTTCCCTTCACTCCTCCTTTCCTCTCCTCTCCTCCCTTCTTCCCTTCACTCCTCCTCTCTTCTCCTCCCTTCTTCCCTTCACTCCTCCTTTCCTCTCCTCTCCTCTCTTCTCCTCCCTTCTTCCCTTCACTCCTCCTCTCTTCTCCTCTCCTCCCTTCTTCCCTTCACTCCTCCTCTCTTCTCCTCTCCTCCCTTCTTCCCTTCACTCCTCCTCTCTTCTCTCTTCTCCTCTCCTCCCTTCTTCCCTTCACTCCTCCTCTCTTCTCCTCCCTTCTTCCCTTCACTCCTCCTCTCTTCTCCTCCCTTCTTCCCTTCACTCATCCTCTCCTCTCCTCTATTGGCCAGGTTATTATGACTCTCCTTTAGATGCCCAGCTGCCTCAGCATATTTTCAGCCAAACTTCCCTTTAAAATGAAGAGATTTACTTGCTTACAGTAATTGCCAGTTATAAAAGGCGTGGGGAAGTTAAATACAACCCTGATGTATCGCGTACCACTAAATGTTCATATTTTTATGGTGTTACAGTAACATCCATCGAAGCAACTAAAAGCTGACAAGCACATTAGATGGAAGTCAAGCAAACACTTTGAACAAGTCACTACTTTAATAACAGACGTCTCTCCAATTTCAATCCACCAGAGTCCCATTTCCACTGGAACTGCCTGTTTCTGTACTTTTTAAACATTTCCAATAGAGATAACTGCTGCCTTGTAGTTTAGTCTACTCCATCTTCAAAAAAAATGTATGTAAACTTTATATAACCCGAAAAAAAACTTGAAATTAAGAATCTCTTTTTCAAGAGTGTCTGGCCTAAAACCAGCAGCAGCACAGTTAGTTTTCTACAAAGCATGAGCAGCCATACATACAATAATAATGCATGATAAAAGACAAGTGAAAGAGATAATATTTGTCCTAAATCATCGATATATCTACAGACAGATGTTCCTGCCTGCAAATCATTCAAATCCCAAAAATGTGGGTTGCTTGTTTTTTGTTGCTTTATTTTTCTAAAATTGGGCAAACTAAGATATTATTATAACCACTTTGTTTTCTTCTTCTGCATTCTATTATTGTTTTGTATAACATCATATATAAAAAAAAAGAATAATGATGTAAGAAATGAACTATGTTTGGATTGCCCAATAAACACGAAGTTGAAAAAAAGAATCCCCTCACAGTAGAGATGTGCATGATAAGTCACCTAAACTTTTAAACGCTGTTACCCTCGTCTACACCAGAACTATTTGTTGGTATAATTAATGATTACTTTTTTTAAATTCAGCCCTGTGATGCTGGATAAATGTTGCGTCGAAGCTGTAATACAGCCACCAGCCACCAGGGCTTTAGCTCCGGTTTATTCCTACTGCCATAATGCTCTACTATCCAGATGTAAACCAGCACAGTGGATGGACGACATCTTGTAGCATGGAAGGGTTTGGGAATATTGTGATCAAGAAATGAAGTTGTGTTCAGGCTGTGTCAGGATCAACAAGAGCTACGTTTAACCACATTCAGCACAAGCATGTAAGTGTTATCCTGCATGGAGGACTGAAGGCTTTAAAAGCATCCAATTAGATCAGTCCATTAAGTTTTAAGTCTGTTTTGTACTTTGCTTCATGTAAAGGGAGCTGCTGCCAACTTAAACGCCTTTTTCCCCAGTTCAGTCCTGACCTTTGAGGCAGTCAAAAAGTTTCAGGCATAGCTATAGTTAGGAGAGAGTGCATATTAGCTATAGAGTTATAATTAATGCACTCTTTTAAGTATTCTTTATCACATTTAAAGAGGACATATTGTGAAAAATCCACTTGTACAGTGTATTTGAACATATATTTGGGTAACCTGAGGGTCTACAGACCCACAAAATGTGAAATAAATCCATCCAGTCCTTT